ACACATTTGTTCATTCAAACCATAACTCTAACTTGGTATTTTAAAATCATTTCAAATTTTCAAAGTTTCAAACTCAAATTCAGTAGTTATTTATTAGAATATCAAATCATATATCCGAAACAATCATACATGTAAAAGAAACAACCATAGAACATGTATATTTCCTTTCGAAAAAATTATACAATCCAAGCACACTTATCTATCCAAGCACACTTATAATCAATCTAATTATCTAAACGGGACAACCATAGAACAGAGCTTCAGAAACAAACAATTCAATCTCAGAACTATTTTCCTACCCGTAATGAAAAATTCAATCAAATTATCAAAACGATTTGGTCATTAAAAACATTTCAAATTCTCACACATGCGAACTCAAATTCAGAGATTATCTATAGGAATAGCAAATCATATTTCCGAAACAATCATACCTTGTTACGATTTTTTTAACTACACAACCCTAATCACATTTTCACTCTCAAAACGGAGGGGAAAGACATACCTTGTTACGATTTGGTCGATTCTCAAACGATTAGGGATGGTGGGAAACGAAGCGAGCCGACGAGTTTTAGGTCTTCATCATCGGAGATCTCAGAGTCGGATGGGCTGGGGAATCAGCTTTCGGTATCGGAATCGAGTCTTCGCCACCAGAGATCAATTCCAATATCAAATCGCCTTCGCTGTCGCCTTTGCAGTTTGGTAGAGAAGAGAGAAGCAGAGAAAGTTGATACTCGATCGGTCACCGCTTTCATCACGAAACAGAAGCTGCCACGTAGCCCAAGGGACGAAAAAACTGTCCCTTAGTTAAGGCCCGTTTACTTCGTCCCATACCATTTTTCATTTAATTTTGATCCAAAAAATACTAAGGGCCGGCCCAAGGGACGCCCGATAACGTTTCTCTTAAATAACAAATCAAAGATCGCGGTGATTAAGTAATTAAACGTAATTCGTGGGATTGATATGAAATTCAGTAGAGTAGTCGATGGGACGTAGCGCCAAACCCATAAGATGCATAATTGAGAAAATATTATTACCGAAACTTGCTGCGACTTGCAAGGAGCATCGAAACTATTGTTTTTTTTTAATTGTGCATCTAAACTATTATTTCTTACACTTTAATCATCAAGCTCAACTAAACAAATAACCAAAATTATCTAGCCATATGTTCTAAGAACCCATGAGAGGCATGCCACGTTTCGTCGTAGTTGTTATTTGTTAAGTCCCACCAACCTTTATCTTTCAAAATCAAATGTAATGTTATCTCTAACTCGTGGTAATTTAGTTTAAAATTGTTTAGTACCTAAGTAAAGTAGATAACATTTAAAAGGTAACCTATAGGCAGCATAGATAATCTCATTTCCAGATTCTAATACATACAAAGTGATGACTAAATCAAGAATATAGCGGAAACTCCCTTAATTAACGTTCTCATTTTGTTTGTTTACTTGTGGCTTTAGTAGATTTGAGCTTCAGATAATTGGCGTATGATAGATAATAATATTCATTTAATTTGCTCTAAAGTAAACAAAGGGTCAGATGAACTGAAATTTTGTGCAAGTTTAATGAAATCGAATATAGAACTTGTCAGTATGTTGTAAAATTAACATGCATCAAACAGTTTTTTCTCTCTAAATAACACGCTACCTAAGAAATTAGCACATACATAAATGTAAAACCCACACTATTACAGGAGTACTAATTAAACTAAACTCAAAGTTACTTAACGAATTAAGCCAAAATACTATAAAATGTTTTAGTGAAAGACGCAAAAGCGAAGAGAAGCCTGACCTTACAATGTTTGTTTAGCAACTTGGATATTGATAATGCGGAATGCGTATTATATTTGCATGCAACATGGAATTAGATTTCATATTCCAATAATTTGTATAGTCTAATATATACAGTAAGTAATATGGATTACGCAAACGTAAGAAAATCTTGTGATGTATGGCGACTTTTAAGGACCACGTATTCGTCTCTGATTATTCTTCTATTCCACAATCTTATCCACTTTTCCCTAATACATAAAAGGCTCTTAAAATTCTAAATTAAAGAAGATCATAAAATAAAAACTGATGACGATCGTTTGTACTTTTAGCTTTTTGTTCTGTTCCACTTCAAACCAATTAGACAATTCTATATTTATATGTATACAAGTATGTACATACAATAATACATTTCAAAAATGCAAATATGCAACATAGAAACAATAGATAGTAATCAATATTCAGGACCACCAAAGACTTTACTTTTACTCTGAAATATAACCAGATAAATAATAATCGGTGAAAAAAAAATAGTAATTTTCTATCTTTTTGTTGTCGAAAAATGTCCATATTTTATTTTGACAAAGAAAAAAATGTCCATATTGATAAGAGATTCTAGAGTAGTCATACTTGTTTATACAATCTCCAATTTACCTAACATATGTTGCAATGGATATAAAACGAATAATAAGCTGCTATATCTCATTGTTGTCAAAGATCACAAACGAATATTGCCACAGTTAGTTGACGTTATACATAGGTGGTCTTTCTTCTTCTTTTGCGCCTATTATATTTCTGCAGAGGCTTATCAAGCTCTTCAGAATTACCATCTGTCACTTCAAACCCTCGATCCTTACTCTTCAAGATCACATCATCATAGTATCAACCTGGAAACGCTTAACCGGACTGGTCTTTGACAGTTTGACACCCGGTAAAATCAAATTACAGAAACTTGATTAGGTTGTTTATTTATATTGTACATAATGAAAATAATTAACAAACTCTTCATCTTGATCATTTCCATCTACATAAGTTTGGCAATACTTAAGCAACACCAGTCCAAGTTCCTTGCAAAGCGTTTTTTGCCTTGCTTTCCTTGCTGGCAAAGATTAAGAGAAGTTCAGATTTCTTTACCAACAAAAATTACTATTTACCAGTTACAAAGAAAATACCCTTTAGTAGCGTGTTATTTAGAGAAAAAAAAACTGCTTGATAGTATAGCATGTTAATTGTAAAACTTACTGATAAGTTCTATATTATTCGGTTTCATTAAACTTACACCGAATTTCAGTATTTAGAACAAATTAAATTAGTATTGTTATTTATTATACACCAATAATCTGAAGCTGAAATCCACTAAAGCCACAAGTAAACAAACAAAATGAAAAAGTTAACTAAGCGAGTTTCCATTATATTATTGATGTAGTCATCACTTTGTATGAATTAGAATCTGAAAATGAGATTCTCTATGCTGCCTATAGGTTACCTTTTAAATGTTTTCTACTTTACTTAGGTACTAAACAATTTTTAATATATTACCACTAGTCAGAGATAACATTACAATTGATTTTGAAAGATAAAGGTTGGAGGGACTTTAACAAATAACAACTACTACGAAATCACGTGGCATGCCTCTGATGGGTTCTTAGAACATATGGTTAGATAATTTTGGTTAATTGTTTAGTTAAGCTTGATGTTTAAAGTGTAAGAAACAATAGTTTAGATGCTCCTTGCCGTCGCAGCAAGTTTCAGTATTAATATTTCTCAATTATGCATCTTATGGGTTTGGTGCTACGTCCCATCGACTACTCTACTGAATTTCCTTTCAGTCCCACGAATTAAGTTTGATTACTTAATCACCCCGATCTTTGATTTGTTATTTATTTAAGACCCTTAATTCTCATGTTTTCGAGTGACTTTGCTTTACTAAGGCTTAGTTAGTGATTGTTTTAGCTATATTTATGAAAGTTTGGAGACTGAAACAAACTGTTGTTTGGACTTTTTTTTTATTCAATAATTTGGCTAGGTTTGATTTAGTTTGGTTGCAGATTAGATCTGAATAATAGGATTGTTTTAGCAACAAGGTATGTTGTTATTTGCAAATATCACAAAGTTAATGACACATAGATTCCACTTTATGGGATAAACAACTGTCAATCATTCGGAATAAAGAAATAAAGGATCGCTATCTTATGCACTTTATTGATCAACACTTTTTGATCTTTTGTATTGATAACAATTTGATTCCTCATAAGAAAGTATCAACTTATACCATGTGATGATACTGATGTATACATGTATGTCTTTATTAATCAAAATCTTAGTCAGCATTACACTGCAAGGGGGACATGCAGTTTTGTAAGTATTATTCACGCAAGTTGGTCAGAATTTTTGTTGAAATTTCAGTGAAAGCCAACATAAAATTGTCTTGATGTCCCCGTATCCTACACTCCTATTGGTGCAGAATTTTCGTCCTCATCCATATCAACCAATCCCGTATGTTAAATATACATATAAGAATATATTGAATAAAATCATAACTAACATAAGTTTCCAAGGAAATCTCATGTGATCTCTTTATATGAATCCTAAATTATACAACAAATCATTTGTCGACTTCAGGATACATTTAGTTATAGGAAAATCTCTCTAATTATAGATGTAGAGGATTAATTTAGCTAATTATCGTTGATGGATATCCTGGTATTAGTCATTATATATTTGGCATAAATTTCGTGACTGAATTTGGATATATATTCCTCTTTTCTATATACGTACAACAAACGTTTGCCTGCATGCTTGTATCGAGAACAATTATACTGAAAACATATATATATATACAAGTCAATATATGCCCTACTATATTAAGTATATACGTTAGACATGTATATACACACATGTAAGTAAATAAATGCCCCCAAAGAATATTTGGCTCTTCGGATAAACCACAGTACAATAAAGCACCTTCCGAGAAAACTTGCTAAGAACCAAACGCCACCTGGAATATTATAAATCAAATATTAAATTTATCATAATCCATACGAATGATTGTATGGTTCGGTGTGAATGTGTATAAATATAACTCTGCTTTTGCAAGTAAGACCTCACAAGTCACAAAGACAAAAAGTCCTGGAGACGCGGAAAACATAGAGAGAAGAACTCAAAAGCGCAAGACACAAGCCAAAACAAGAAGAAAAATACATTTTCAGATTTCTCCTAAAAATCAAACAGAATATGGTGTCTCAAAAGCTAGAGATCTGCATCGAATTAGTGAAGATTGGCGTCGGTTTTGTCGCCACCGTGGCTAATACAGTAGAAAAAGCTTTCCGTAAGCCTCCACCGGCGCTTTCGGCGGTTCATGATGGTCGCCGGAATAGTTACGCTGATGTTCCCATTCCTCTTGTTGGATTCATGTGATGAGCTTTTTTTTCTTCTTGAGTTTTGGCCTCGTTTAAGTTAGTAGCACTCGTGCCATGTGGCGTTTTGGAAGTTGCTGATTTGTGTATAAAATGAATCGTGAAGAGTTACAGATGAATCAAGTCGTCAATGTTTATAAAACTTTTTGAGTATTAAATTGCTTTAACTGTCTTTAAGATCATTCCAAGCTACTAAGCACACCTTAAAAAATTGTAGCTACAAAACTGGCTATATTCGTTATCTGTTATTGTCAGTTTTTTTTCCCAATAAATCTTCATCCAATGCAAGGAGGAAGGAGAAGAAATAACTAAAGTTATACAGAGAAATAAGTATCCCTTTCTATGGAGAAACGATGCTGGGAATCGACCGTGAGGTTCGTGAATTAAGCTAATTGGTTTCTAGATAACATATCTCAATACTTTAATTAGAACTATTGAATTTGAATTGTGAGCAAGTTCTTGACAGGAATTAGGTCTTAGAGCATTTCCAAAAGCCCTTCAACGACTAATTTAACTAAACTCATAGTTACTTAGCTAAGCAAATCAAAATAATATGAAATGTTTTAATGAGAGACACAAGCGAAGATAACCTTGACCATACAATGTTTGTTTAGCAACTTGGATGTGAGATAATGTGGAATGCGTTATTATATTTCCATGCATCATGGAATTGAATTTCATATTCTAATAATAAGTCTATTATACACAGTAAATAATATGGATTACGCAAACGTAAGAAAATCTTGTGATGTATGGCGACGTTCAACGACCACATCTTCCTTTCTGATTATCCACTTTTTCCCTAATATATTAAAAATAGATAGAGATTCAAGGCGCGAGAACGTCCAAAAAAATAATTTAATTTACTTTATACTTTCATGCGTAATTTAAAGAATACAAAATGTGATTTGTTCTATCTATAACATACTCAAAGAACATATACAACCCTGGACTGTAATCCCTTATATATTAATTGAAAAATATTACAATATTGGTTTGTAGCCATGTATTACTATGAGAATGAAATTTAGAATTTTTTTTTTTAAATAGGTTGGTTCATCTTATTTATATTATCAAATTGATAAATAGTATACAAAAGAATATTCTTGCACTTTCTTTAAACAAAATCTATGGAATTACCTAATATGATTAACGTATATATGACAATTAATGATTATGAATAATAATTATTTGGTAAAAAAAATTGTATCTTAGTTCTTTTTTGTTTAATTTTATTTTATTAAAAGATATTAAACAATCACATTACCATATAATAAAAAATAATTTTTCCTTATATGTTATATTTTGAATTTTTGAAACGAGTATAAATTAATAAAACGTTAAATGTCTTACAATAAATTTTTTTGATCAATGGTTTGACTTTTCGTAATAATAAAATACAAATGATCATAAATCGTATAAATATGAAGTCTCATTTAATAGACATTCATATTATATATTAATATAGTTTAAAATGAAACTATATAATATATAAAATACATAAATATGTTAATTTCTAAATTTGTATTGAAAAAGTATTGAAACCTTAATATTTTAATTTTGAAATTTGCACTGAAACAATCGCATATTAAAATTTTGTGTTTATCCTATGAGTATGAATTCTCAATAATAAATATTATATTAAAATATACTATATATCTATATCTATGTCATTAAAATTTAGTTATATACCAAATTAAATAAATAAAATTATTGTTTTGTTGTATTTACCAAAAAGTATCTTAAATAAACAAGAGGTATTATTTTAATTGATGTGATTACTGTAATTTAATTATATATATAATACATAAATAAACACAAATAAATAATAATATATAAAAATTATTTTTATATATGATGTTCATTCCGCGCAATTGCGCGGATCTTAACCTAGTTAACTATAAAATAAAAAACCCATCGAAATTATGAGTTAACACCCAAGTAATGGAAAGATGATTCAGTTCATCATCTTTTATTTGTTCCAATCATCTTTTAATTTCTTGTCTACAGTCTTAACAACAAGAAATTTTAAGAAATTCAGTACATCAAGTCAGAATTATCTGAATGTATATTAACCATATAATGTCATGTTATGTACAGTGGTGGAACCAAAAAAAATTGTACCAGGATCGGAATTTTTTCTTTCTAAGACATAATTTAAAAAATATTGAAAATACAAATATATTATATAATCATTCATAACTTGATTTTTTTTTATCACAGTTCCATTTACTATATTTTGAAATATTTTTTTATAAAACAAATACTACTAGTAATGTATTTTTTTTTGGCTATTGCCAATATAAATTGTTTTTGATTAAACATCAATTTTGTATGGAGGCACAGTCGGTCTTTTGCTGTTTTATGCAAACAGTCAAACACAGATGTTTTCCTCTCTTTATACTTTCTCGTCTTACGCATTAGCACCGAAAACGTGAGCAGATTATTCACGTAGAAATAAACTATAAGCAGCCAAACAAATACGGTAATCTGCTGCAGTGTCCAAGATTACCGCATAAAACATAATCTCATACTGGCATCTTCTCTACTTTTATTACTGCCTATGGTTTTTGTCTCTCTACATTTTTCTTGTTCTTAAAAGTTCAGAACTAGGTTTGAAGTGTGAGAAAGTTTTGCTCGGTTGCCATTTTTGTCACACTATCACTGCAAATTTAAGATCAATATAATTTGGTTTGAATGTCTTTTATTCCTGCAATTATTCAAGCACACTGCAAATTTAATATCAATATAATTTGGTTTGTGTTTCAAAAAAAAAAAAAATTTGGCTTTAATGTCTTTTATCCTAGAGGGAAGTGATCATCGATATAATTTCGTAATAATATTTTGTAATGTTTTGACGATTTTTTTTTTCTATTTTAGAACGAACATGCTAGGCGCTAATAGGACAGTACAGTTGGACCTAACGTTTATAGAGATTTTTTTTTTCGACAAAAGCAAATCGGAGATTAAACACATATTATATGGAACAAAAATTTTAAATTATTTGATAATATAATTTTCATCAAAATTTATGATTATAAATTATATTTATTAAATTTTAAATTAAATAAATAGATAAAAGTATTATTAAAAATAGAATAAAAAATATATTAAACGGTCGTCTAATTATCTAGACGTTCTAAACAATTAAAATCAAACAACTGATTTCTTACAGCGATTTGACATAAACCGAACAGTAATTAAAATTTATATATGTATTTGATTTGGATTGGTTTGAATTCGGTTAGCTCGGTTTAGATTGGTTCAGTTCGTTTTTTTTTTCCCATTCCTAGATATTATTACATAACCAAAAACCCAAACTTTTTGTCGGATGTCTGAAAAGGAAAAAGAAAAAAAATCAATGAACGAACACACAGGAGTAGAGTATAGTAGATCATCCAATATAACATAACACTTTTTCTATTATTTTAACTTACAAAATAAGTTCAAATTCATCAGGTTTTGGTGTTGGTCACATGCGTGATACCAAAACAAAAGGTATGTCACCAATGTCCCGAGTACAATTCCCTCCTCCAGTTATATTCTTGCTATCTAAAGGTTTTAAATCTTTTGGTTGGAATCCACCTTAACTGTTGTGAACAGGGATTTGGGTATGGGGAACACCACTAGAGCTAGAGATTGACGGAGTAAAAACGTCCATTATTTACCTCGACACTGAAGGATTAGAAAGTGTTGGAACATACAGTTTACTCTTTGAACATTTAGACATTTTGTTTGATGATACTTTGGATATTTAATCAATTTGTTTTTGCTGATTTTTTTTACAGAATATTTGCTCTGGCAACGGTTATGAGTTCTGTGCTTATCTATAATCTCCCTGAAACCGTAAGTTGTCCCCTGCCTTGGTCTTTGTTCGGATTGCTTATGGTTCTAGAAACATTATACTTATATCCCAAGAGGAGTGTAAAACCTGATATCTAATGATCTATATATCAATTACCATGCAGTGTCCAAGATTACCGCATAAAACATAATCTCATACTGGCATCTTCTCTACTTTTATTACTGCCTATGGTTTTTGTCTCTCTACATTTTTCTTGTTCTTAAAAGTTCAGAACTAGGTTTGAAGTGTGAGAAAGTTTTGCTCGGTTGCCATTTTTGTCACACTATCACTGCAAATTTAAGATCAACTAGGTGACCGGCCCGCACCCTGTGCGGGTATATACAGATTCAAATTATGGACTTAATAATACAAAGTTTTAGAAGTAATAGATTTTATATCATAAGACCACCGTCTTTGAGGTAAAGCTTCAGGCACAAAAAAATGCCGGTACACAATATTTTACATGGAGGAGATGGAACAAAGTAACTTCAGTATCAATAGGTAGTTATTGTGTGTATTTATAATTGCAACATCACAAAAAAAAATTGTATGTTGAAGGTTGAATTTTATTTTCCAAATCTGAAATTAATAGTGTGTAGTTTTATAAGTAACATATTTTCTATTATCACTAATTAGAATTGTATTGTATATGTGTTGTAATTCTTTATTTTAGGTGAAAATATTATTATGCATAAATTTTTCGTAAAATGTATGTAGACAGATTAAAAGAAATGTTACACATATCCCTCTCTCTCTTTCTCTCTCTCTCTCTCTCTCTCTCTCTCTCTCTCTCTCTCTCTCTCTCTCTCTCTCTCTCTCTCTCTCTCTCTCTCTCTCTCTCTCTCTCTCTCTCTCTCGTTATTCTGATTTGGGACAACCGAATTTAATTAGGTCATTAAAGATTAGTACATTTGATACATCAATTCACTTTTTGTTTCAGTGATCTAATAAAAGTTNATTTATAACATTACAATAACGTGAATTCCACAAAAGTAAAACAAAAAATTCAATTAATAGAAATTCTAACAAAAGCCACAGCTTAACCAATAGAAGAGTATACTATTGATAACACGTTCAAAACTTAAACAACGTCAATGAGCTTCCGTTCAAAAGCATGATTGATTCAATCTACTCCAAGTCTGAAAGAACATGTAAAG